TCATTTCTCTTCTCCCTACAGGTTCCTCCTGAGGTGGGTCCAACGCTCGCACTCTGGCTGTAACGGTGACACCAAACCGGACCGGAAGCGGGGGGATTTTTGGGGCAAATTGAGGTGATTTTGGGTGTTTCCTCAGTACGTGGGAAAATCAGGCGTCCACCTGAAGCGGGAATTCTTCCTGGCCAACGCCTCGCGCGCCCGCTCCGAGCAGTTCATCAACCTGCGGGAGGTGAGCACCCGTTTTCGGCTGCCGCCAGGGGAGTACATCGTGGTGCCCTCCACCTTCGAACCCAACAAGGAAGGAGACTTCGTCCTTCGCGTCTTCTCCGAGAAAAAAGCCGGCACCGAGTAAGGCGCCCGCCTTCGTTAGCACTAACGAGCCCCCGGCGAACGCAGGCCTCCAATTCTCCTCCGTTGTCTCCCGCAGGGAAATGGACGACAAGATCCAAGCGACGCTGCCGGATGAGGTGAGGAAAAGGCGGGAGAGCACCGGGAGGTGCCACCGCGGGGGGTTTTTAACCAAATTGGGTGGTTTTTCCCTCAGAAAGTGCTGTCGGAAAGCCAGATCGATGAGAACTTCAAGCAGCTCTTCAAGCAGTTGGCGGGGGCGGTAAGGACGGGGTTGGGGTGACGGCGACGCCGGCGGTTGGTGACACCGGTGGTAGGGGACAACCGCGAGTCTTCTCCTCGCAGGATATGGAGATCAGCGTGAAGGAGCTGCAGACCATCCTCAACCGCATCATGGGCAAACGTGAGGCCCTTTTTAACTAGAAAAGTTTTCAAATTTTAAGATTTTAAATTCGTAATCCAGAAATTCTAATTTTTTGGGACAATTTAGAATTTGAATTATACAAATGAAATTTTCTAATACGAGTTAAACTTTTAATTAAGAGATTTTAAGCTTTCGACTAAGAAACTAAACTTCTGATTGTAGATTTTTAAATTAATTTTATGGTTTTGATTAAATTTTAAATTTACAACTATAAAACTCTTAAATTCTAAAAGCCAGATTCTAATTCAGGAATTTACTTTTTAAGTTTATTTTCTATTTTCATTAATTTTATGGTTTGAATTAAATTTTACATTTACAACTATAAAATTCTTATCAGGAATTTAGTTAAGTTTGTTTTCTATTTTAATTATTGTTATGGTTTAAATTTTAAACATACAACTATAAAATTCTTAAATTCTAAAAGCCAGATCCTAATTCAGGAATCTAGTTTTTAAGTTTGTTTTCTATTTTA